GCACCTGGAGATGCAGTGATCTGAGTATGATTCATTGACAACTTAATACTTATCAATAAAGGCGGAGGAGCACCTCGACCTCGAGCGGCGCTCGCCGTCGCTGCACGCGTCGCCGCCCTCCATGCTGCTCTCCGAGTCCCAGGGCAGCGGACTTGGCGAACCGACTCGTTCGCCCCAGCACCCGCCGCAGCAGTCTAGCTTTGTCGCCCGAGCTCGCCGAGCCAGCCGCGACATGTTCAACGTCCTCCCGCCGCGGGCCTCTCGCGCCGGCGACTGGACGGCCGACGCATAGCGCGTGCCACACGGGAAGCGGAGACCGGACAGAGGTGCCCGGCAACCGCGCTTATAACGCGTCACAGCGAGACCTGTGCTGTGGTGTGCGGGCGGGGGCCGCGCGAGATCGACGGTCTAATATGCGGCAGGTAGAGGCCGCGGGGGAGGCGAGTCGGGAGGGCAGGGCAGGGGCTGTTGTCGTTTTTTAGTTTTCTCCTTCAAAAACACCGGTCACCACGGATAAAAAAGAAATGGCGGTGCAGACACGCCATTCGGGCCTTGCACGAGTTGCGAAACAGCGGCTTTGCCGATGGCACGGTGGTCGTCGTGTGTGCCTGAGAGTGTGCCTGATGACAAGGCATCGCTGTGGTGCAAAGTGCCCAGCGCTGCAATGCTGAGCAATGAGCTGAGCAAGAGCGGCATGGGCCGCATCGACGAGGTCATTGCTCTCCTCCAAAGCGCCCGAACGGTTGGTGAGAGAGACAGAGCGGCACGCGTGCTGAAGATCGTGATCCTACGCGATGTGGAGCCGAAGTGTGGCCGCGGCCATCTGAAGCGCGGTCACGACCAGTACGAAACGCCACCACTCACCCCGCCAGTCGCAAAGCTTCGACGCGCTGCCGACTGCCTCTTGGACCTGAGCTGGGCACGCGAGTAGAGTGCCCTCTGGCCGAGTTCGAGGATGGGATAGATAGAGGTTATTTTGTAATCGAATTGAATCGTATGTCTTTCTTGACTCCTACGCACAGTCATACTTCAATCGGGGTCCGGGCAAGGCGGTTGAATGTGACTACCACGGCATATACGTCACAAACCATGCAGATTACGCCGTGTGAGCGCGAAGATCCACACTTCTCCTACACGAGGTCCGATTCCGAAACCTTCCGGTTCAAGCCCACTACGCCCGCGTTCCTGGCTAAGCTCTCGATGCCAACAGTGATCGGCTTTGATTTGTCAAGTTCGTCACCGAGCACAAGTCCATGTACCATGAAGGTCAAGAAGACTGGGGTGCGCATATGTCAGCTCTGTAATGTTTTGATGAGAGAGAGTGAGAAGATTGGATCGGTGGTTCCCTGGCGGACCCTCACAGCCTCCCTAGAGGGAGTGCAGTAGTAGCGGAGAGACCAGTGGCTAAACGATCTCTCTACACCGCTTCACGGACCTTGTACCTATACGCTCTGATGAGAGGCGAGACATATCAAGATTGATTCCAGAAGGAAGTCTCGCTGCTGTTTCGATCAAGTGCGAAGTTATGCGCTTTTTTTGAAAGCAAACTTGGCGAACTTTATTCTTTTGAAATCGGGCGTGCGCGTGTCAGGCCGCAGGCGGCAGGGGTTTTCAGGTTCAACGTTTTCAAAAAATGTCACACCAGTCCCCCGGCGTGGATTGTTGTCGCGATTTACTTCCCCCCCCCCCCCCCCCGACGGACACAAATAAGGCCACAACACAAAAAAGGGGCGGCCGCTCTTTTTTTCTCCTCGTAATACGACGGGACGCGACCCAACCGCAACCCGCGGGGACCGTCGTTACGGCTCGTTGTGCGAGTATATGGGCCACGATGTCTCAAATATGAGGGGTTTTGACTCCTATAGGCTCCTGACGCTATCCCTGGCAGCTCTAATGACCGGGATCAGTAGTGCTATGATAGAGGGTGCCCATACTAGCGCAGGAGCTGCCACACTCGCCCGGACCGTCCCCCTCCGGGGCCGGTTCCGCAGCCAGCGAGAGCCGACAGCGGGGCCGTGCCGCGGGTGCCTACTGCCGAGTGCCACAAACACTGCGCCGTCCCGCCACCACCTACAGGCTGTCTTGTGTGATGGTTGGGATGTCCAAACGCCACCATCTTGGCTCTTGCGACCTCAAACCCGCGAGCTGTATGGGTGGTCCTGACGTCGACAGACGCCCGATGACCACGGTGAAGCTGAGCCGGAACGCGTCGACAAGTCTCGTCTGAGCCCGTGGCGGTCGCCGGCTGAGTCGCTGTGCACGGACCGGTACCTCAGGCGTCACCTCCGCAGCCTCAGGTCTCACACTCCATCACCTCCGCCAGGACGCCGTCGGTGGCACGCTCGGCGGCGAGTTTGTGGCAGCTCCATTCTCGAGTACGGCGTCGAGCCTACTCACTCCCGTTGGTTCGGCACACTCGGTGGGGTCCACCGAGTGTGCCGAACGCGCGAGCGGTGCGTCCTGGCAGCCCGCGCTGGCTGCGGAGCTGCCACAAACTCGAGACACGCTTTTTGGGACATTTTCGACGCTTTTGGCCCATATACTCGTGCAACAACCCGCCCCCACTTGCCCTGGGACTGCACAGGATAGCGTGCCCCGACAAACGGCGACACATAGCGGGGGACACCACGCCGGGGGGTATGCCTAGACTGTCGGTGCTTGGCGGGAGGAGGGGGAGAGGGAGGCCCGGTGGCAGGAGAGAGGGAGAGGGAGGCCCGGTGGGAGGGGAGGGAGAGGGAGGCCGCCTTGGGCTCTTCTCCTCCCCCCTCCCTGGGCTCTTCTCCTCTCCCCACCCTGGGCTCTTCTCCCCTCTCCTGCCTGGTACTCTCGGCCTGATTACCGGAGCGTCTGCTGGAGCAGACGCTGGGGGGACACTCACGCCCGGAGGCGGTACGCACGACCCGGAGGCGTGGGGATGGGGGGGCGCCGCGCCGCCGCCGCCGTGCCGCCTTCTCCCGCTTTGATCTCCCTCAGCTGCTTCTCCTCAACTCAACCTGTGAGCTTGCGAGGGCGGCGGGGGTGGGAGTGCTCTCGGGCGGCGTGTGCGAGCGCGCGCGGCGCGAGATCTCTTTCGCGAGGGCACGGTGGGTCGGGTGAGTATCTCGCGCGCTCGCACTATTTCACGTTATGTGAGCACTGCCCCTAACTGC